GTGAAAGCAGTAGCAGATTTTCCACCACCCAAGGACAAAAAAGGCCTTCAAAGATTTCTGGGAATGCTGAATTTCTACCATCGTTTTCTTCCTGGAATCGCACATCGTATAATACCTCTTACTGAAGCTACCAAGGGCAGAGCCAAGACTTTGCAGTGGACCCCTGAATGCCAATTAGCATTTCAGGATGCTAAAATGGCTCTTGCTTCTGCAACTATGCTTCATCACCCTGAACCACAGGCAGCAACTAAGATATCAGTGGACGCTTCTGACACCGCAATAGGAGCAGAACTTTCTCAGTTTCAATCAGGGATGTGGAAACCTATTGCTTTCTTTTCTAGAAAACTCACACCTACCCAGAAACGATACTCCACTTTTGACCGTGAGCTTTTGGCAATTTACAGTACCATCCGCCATTTCAGATATTTTTTGGAGGGAAGACCATTCACCATTTTCACTGATCATAAACCTCTCACTTTTGCATTCAAGAGTACATCTGACAGATCACCACGTCAAGAGAGACAATTATCATTTATTGCTGAATTTACAACTGATATACGACATATCAGTGAAACTGATAACATTGTCCTAGACACTCTGTCCAGAGCCCCAGTGGAAACTGATGAGCCACTTATTGCCTCCACAGCTACGATTCCGACAATTGACCTTACACAGCAGCATCACAAAAGACTGACACTAAGATGGTTGAACTGTGTGCCAATCCAGGATATTTGAAGTTAAAGGAAGTCAACTTTGGTGAGGTTAAACTTCTCTGTGATACAACTACCAGTCGACCTCGGCCAGTAGTTCCACCTTCAATGACAAAGCTCGTTTTTGAGGCAATACACAATCTTTGTCATCCTGGAACAAAACCAACAATCCGTGCCATTTCAAGTCGTTATGTCTGGCCTGAACACAAAAAAAGACATTCGTAATTGGGTCAAATCTTGTCATGCCTGTCAAACAAGTAAAATTGGACGACACACTAGAGCACCGTTAACCACCTTTGATCCACATTCATGTTGATTTGGTTGGACCTCTTCCTCCTTCAGAAAATAAAAAATATCTTCTGACAATTGTTGACAGGTTTACAAGGTGGCCAGAAGCTGTACCTTTACCGAATGCAGAAGCAGTTACTTTTGCCAAAGCTCTTTTAAACTCATGGATATCGAGGTTTAGTGTTCCAGACTCCATCACATCAGATCAAGGTAGACAATTTACAAGTGAACTTTGGCGTGAGCTTAACAAGGTGCTTGGCATTCAACCTAACACAACAACAGCCTATCATCCACAATCCAATGGCATGGTTGAAAGATTTCATCGCAGATTGAAAGAAGCCCTCAAAACACGTTTAGACAATGCAAGATGGATGGACCAGTTACCAATTGTATTACTTGGTATCCGATCAACATGGAAAGAGGACATTGATGCATCACCAGCACTTCTTACCTATGGTACAAATTTAAGAGTACCTGGTGACTTTATTCCGAACACAACTGATGACAAATTTTTTCCTAACAATGAATTTGTGCAAGAACTTCAACAAACAATGCAGAAATTGGCTCCTGCTCCTCCTTCTAGACATGGGCAGATTTGTACATATGTACCGGTTGACTTACAACAAGCTGAACATGTATATGTAAGACATGGTGCTCATCGAGGTACATTGATTAGACCATATGATGGTCCTTACATTGTCATTTCACGTTCCGACATATATTTTGATATTTTAAGGAATGGACAAACAATTCGTGTCTCGGTTGACAGACTTAAACCAGCTTATAGCAATCCGGTTTCAGTGCACAATCAGACAGTGAATCCACAAACAAAACCAGAGACATGTCTTTCACCTTCTTTAATTAAAACGCGTTCCGGTAGAACAGTTAAAAAGCCGGAAAGATTTTGAACAATTGATTTTATTAATTTAATTTTAGTAAATGTTTTCAATGTTCTGGGGGGAGGTATGTAGAACTTACATAATAGCTATGTG